TCCACCTCACATCCCACGTCTCACGCCAGGCGCCTCACTTCACGCCATCTTCCGGGCGATCTCCCCTTGCGATTCCTGACAGAGCTGAGCATTTCAAGTTCAAGTTAAGCTCAGCAATTAAAGGGGCGACCGTCGCGACAGGAGGCGAGTGCCACAGGCCACAGCCGCACAACCGCCTCAGCACCCAGCACCTGTAGGTGCCTCCATTGGTACTTCTTCCCCTAGGTATTTCATGGGCGGCGGTGGTACTCTCCACAGGGGAAAAAATTGCTGGAAGTGGTATACTACAGCCGGATACTTCATTGACAACGGCGGTACTCCCTCTCCCACCCCAGGCTGTACGTTGGCGACGATGGTACTTCCCCGAGGGCCCGCGGGCACAGTATTGGCATGAGTTGGGTAATTTCTTCCATGAGCAGGCTGGATTGAGCTGGGATCGGGCTGGGATCGAAAATGACTTGAAATGATAAAATTTGACTGAACAGTGAGTGGTGACCCGCGTAAAAATCTAAGGCTTGTTTTGGACCCATTCTCGTCGTTTTCCGCGTTTTCCACTAGTCTCATAACGACCAGCATAGTACGAATATACGACGAAGTATCGAGGTATTCCGTCGTATTTCCGTTCCTTTGCCGCCGCACCAGGGTCGTTTAACTGGTAAAATTCCCGACGAGAATGCGACGAGAAAACGACGACCCATGCAGCGCCGGCACCGCCGGGCACCGCCGTATACTCGTCGTTTATTTGTCGTATTTTGGTAGTGGAAGGGGAAAGAAACAAAACGGTCGGCCGCCGAGAGGCGGGCGCGAACCGCCGACCACTCAGTCGCGACGCCGAGACGGTATCCACCTGGCCAGGGAGGACACCTGCAGGCAGCGCGGCCGGAACCACATCCCATGCTGGCCTGTGCTCTCTCGACACAAACCTTACTCTCAGCGTTGTAGATTTAGACTGTCGGCTACTGAGCACAATTAATTTTTTGAGCTTGCGAGCACAAACTGACTGTTCCGAAAAGTTGTGTCGAGATGTTACTCATGACGCAGTGCATAGTGGCCCAGTCTAAATCTAGAACGCTGAGAGTGAGGTTTGTGTCGAGAGAGCACAGGTCAGCATGGGATGTGGTTCCGGCCGCGCTGCCTGCAGGCGTCCTTCCTGGCCAGGTGGATACCGTCTCGGCGTCGCGACTGAGTGGTCGGCGGTTCGAGTCCGCCTCTCGGCGGCCGACCGTTTTGTTTCTTTCCCCTTCCGCTACCAAAATACGACGAATAAAAGACGAGTATACGGCGGTGCCCGGCGGCGCCGGCGCTGCATGGGTCGTCGTTTTCTCGTCGCATCCTCGTCGGGAATTTTACCAGTTAAACGACCCTGGTGCGGCGGCAAAGGAACGGAAATACGACGGAATACCTCGATACTTCGTCGTATATTCGTACTATGCTGGTCGTTATCAGACTAGTGGAAAACGACGAAAATGGGTCCAAAACAAGCCTTAGATTTTTACGCGGGGAGTTCACATGACGAAAAGTGACCAAAAATGAATTAAATTATTAAATAAGGGCAGAATAAAATGAGGGAAAATCGACGAAACGACTAAAAACGATAAAAATTGAGCTGAAACTTTGAACAAATTTAAGAAATTTCTGTTTGTACACTGATGAACACTAGTGAGGGACCCGTCGCTGACATGATGCAGTGCTCGAATATTACGAGAACCAAACGGAGGGGGGGACCCCAATTTATGCGCGCGGCTGGGCTGTCGCCCTCCCTCATAATGCACTGGCGGAATGCGAATATGAATATGTGGATCGGATCGGGCCCACGCCGGCCGCGCCGCCAGGCCGCCAGCCAGTCCAATAAAATGGAAACATTTGTTCCTCGATATACCGCCGCCCTGCCTGAAATATCCGTGTGTGCGCTCCTCGCAAAAGAAGGACCTTTCCCGTCTAGCAGAGAGAGTGAGGGAGAGAGAGGGAGAGGGAGAGG